AGGAACTATTCGAGCCATTCATGCCAGACTGGGGAGAGAGGTGTTGTAATAATGTAAAATATGTCAAAAATTGCATAAACAATATGAACAAAACAGCATCATGTATTTATGCATAGCTTAACAAATAGCCGATCACACGATTGCATTTAAAAACATGAGACACAGTGGAATGGAATAAAACCCCCACAAATTCTCAAGACATGTTTTCTAAAAGTTTAACCTCTTTTAACTTTACATGGCTTTCTATTCAACTCTTGTACGAGACGCGAGTGCAACAGTCGTAGTTTTAGGTCTCAAAAATTCACCGAATATGCGTTCTGTGTGAATGGCTTGGTTTGGGTTTTAACCTAAACAATATCTTCTCCGCATTGAGCTTCTAAATTTCTCTAATATTTTGAATGTAAAAAGCAGCAGCGGCATATCTTGTGGGTTCAACTGGATAGACTAACAAAAACATTAAAATGCAACGACACTTATTAGGCTACATCCTCACCGCATCTTGTGCACCGCTGATAAGGCTCCCTTACTCACACCTAAAATTTAGATACAACGTTTTTGCATTCGAATGCAAATTTTTATTTTAAATTCGACTACATTCTTTTTTTTAAATTCACAGTCTCCTCATCGCAGGCAGGAACGGCACTCATGAATGTAAAAAGCAGCAGCGGCATATCTTGTGGGTTCAACTGGATAGACTAACAAAAACATTAAAATGCAACGATGACACTTACATCATCACTGCATCTTGTGCGGCGCTGATAAGGCTCCCTGACGCACACCTAATATTCAAATACACCATTTTTGCATTCGAATGCGAATTTTTATTTTAAATTCGACTAATATTCCTCTTTTTGATTCACAGGCTCCTCATGAATCACTGACTCACTAGATTGGTTCAAAAACGCACTTTCATTCATGAAGCAAACACCGCAGTGTTTGCTTTTAGAGATGCGCAGCGGCTCAGCTGTTACTTTATTTTATTAAAAGCTGTCACTCTTCTTATCGCGACCTGTGGGCACACAGAAAAGAGCACGCGTGAGTTCTCAAGACTCAAAAGCACGTGCAAATGATACGTTCCGTCATCTGTCATCGCGTTATAAGCGCGGACGATTGCATGTAAAAACATATGAGACGCAGTTTTAATGGAATAAAACCCCCACAAATTCTTGAGACATGTTTTCTAAAAGTTTAACCTCTTTTAACTTTACATGGCTTTCTATTCATCTCTTGTGCGAGACGCGAGTGCAACAGTCGTAGTTTTAGGTCTCAAAAATTCACCGAATATGCGTTCTGTGTGAATGGCTTGGTTTGGGTTTTAACCTAAACAATATCTTCTCCGCATTGAGCTTCTAAATTTCTCTAATATTTTGAATGTAAAAAGCAGCAGCGGCATATCTTGTGGGTTCAACTGGATAGACTAACAAAAACATTAAAATGCAACGATGACACTTACATCATCACTGCATCTTGTGCGGCGCTGATAAGGCTCCCTGACGCACACCTAATATTCAAATACACCATTTTTGCATTCGAATGCGAATTTTTATTTTAAATTCGACTAATATTCCTCTTTTTGATTCACAGGCTCCTCATCGCAGGCAGGCACGGCACTCATCTCAGCATGTGTTCACGTGTTCCATTGACTGTGTGCTTGTCACTCGTAGCAAAAAAAAATCTTTTGACTGAAAAATCGGCCAAACCCCATTCCACAGCCATACTTGTCACACACCCAGTTTAAGAGCAGTGTTTTTCTTCTTGTAATTAGGAGCGCTTGTCCT